AGACATTTTTCATTTATAAATATTATCATTGTGATTTATTTAGCTGAAGTTCCACTTGTCAACCAGAAGAAATGCAACGAGGCATATACATCCTTTTCTCCCATCACTCCACGTATGATTTGCGCTGGTTTCTACGAAGAAGGAGGAAAAGACGCTTGCCAAGGTAAGTGTTTATGAGAATAAATATAATAATTTGAATAAACGAGTGAATATTCAAACAAAATTCACAGGTGATTCGGGCGGTCCACTCGTCGCATACAGCCCAGACGACGGAACACCACGTTTGGTCGGAATCGTTTCATGGGGTAAATATTTGGTTTTCTTGAAATGATCTTCATTTATATGAAGCAAATTTTCTAAATTCAAATTTAACACTATATAGGTTACGGTTGTGCTCAACCTAACTACCCAGGCGTATACTCCCGCGTTTTAGCTGCACGCGATTGGATCTCCGCCAACACTGGAATCTAAGCAATCACATCTTCATTGTGAGATTTAAATAATATTGGATTGGATTGGATTGGATTGGATTGACCATTGGCGTCATTACCGTCATTATAAAGTCAATCACAATTTCGACCATTTTTTTTGGTCAACGTCATTTAAACAAACATTTTGTATGATTAACTTAGAATTTTCTTAACAAAACGAAAAAAATTGAATAAAAAAATCCCAAGTATTTTCATTTATAGCAATATCATAAATTATCAAGTGCAACCTGATTCACCATGTGTAATCTATGCACTTTGTACACAACTGTAGAAATAAAAAGCCTCTTAAACAAACTATCATTTAAAAATAGGTTACATCTGTAGAAAGTATCTAGATCTACATTCCTCAAAATAGTGAAGTCAAAACGATGACAAACAAACAACATGCAATATATTTTGAGTTCCATGCAAAGTAAGGAGTATAAAAGCTACGGTTTACGGAATATAGTGAATAGTATCTGTCAAGCGTATCGATGACAACAAAACTTTTCTGATTCACTGTTAAATCGATAGCCAAGATGGAAGAAATTCCTTAACAGTAAAATGAAATATTTTATAAATTTGAAGAGAAAAGTCAAAGAGTTTAATAAATCCATGTTGATACATGCATGCAGTTACAATATGTAGGAACAACAACAACAGTAAAATATACTCGTAGTTTTCTACAAAATATTTTTGGGAAAAAATGGGCAAAATCTATGATATCAACTAACTACCCGAGTAACAGAAAGGAAAATCTACATTTATGAAACACAGAGCTTTGACAAAGACAATTTTTCGTTGTTTCTTTGTCTTTTTCATCATTTTTCAGTTGACACACAATCGTTTTACTTGTAAAATGTCGCCTTCGGACTCATCTTCCTCGGAGTTTTCGCCACTAGATACATTCCCAAATCGTTGCTTTAGAACAAACATCTCCAATTTTCACAATATTTGATTCTACTTGATAAAATTTGTCCATTCCAATTTGATTGTTGAACAACACTTTAACTATGAAACAAAGTCGAATTATAAACAATTTTTTACTGATTTTATTTCAAGAATTTTTCGATGTAAATTTCCAATGCATTCACTTGCAATGGAATTTCTCGTCTGAGGCGAAGTAGAAAAATTTTCGATGCGTAGATTTTTGTCGCCACAACAACAATCGATCAAACGGGATATCGAAAATTCTGCATGTGTGATGGTGTTCTGCCACCTGTTGATGTTCATTGATCGGCTTGGCTTCGGAAATACACCAATTGCACGGATCACCCATTTCTATGGTTACCAAAATCAATACCTGAGCCACTGGTTGCTTGTGTTATTGATCGTGAATCCACAGGCCAATCGTACATAAGCGGCGGTTGCTATGAAATGAATTGGTCGCTATGAATTTCTAAAGTCAAGGCTACAAAGTCAATGGTTAAATAAACAGTATTAGCCTTGACATCAGGTGAATATACTGTTCCATGACTGAAATATTGACACATGTCTATGAATTGTTGCGAATGAATGAAGCTATTTATAGATTAATATAATAGAAATGATTGAAAAGGCGAATAACTCGAACAGTGATGGTACATCGAATTAATGAAACTATATAATTAATGTAACTATATCTATGAAAATTGGCAATTTTACACTCTTGTCACGGGGATTGGTTTGATCAGGTCAAGAATCAATGATTTGTCTGTTATTTTCCATTCTAATAACTATTGCACATCAGTAAAACCTTCTGGATATTAAAAACATATTTATAAATAAAAAACGATGTAAAAGGCGAAATTCATTTTCATCTTAATCAAATTGGATTTCTCAGAATTCCCAAACATCTTTGTGTGCGTGAGTTGTGTGTAGCGTCGTAAATTTTCATCCATAAGAAACTGAAACAACGGTTGCTTCGAGATTGATTTATTTTAGGCGTATATAAACAATGCACAATAAAATGATTGTTTAAAAAATGACCCCACATGAAAGAATCATGAGGCGATCACAGACACTTGCACTCGAAAACTCGAACTTGAAATTGTTAGTGAATTTCCCCATTCACGGAATTGAAAAAGTCCTTCAGCACGAGTACATGTTTCCTATCATAAAACTGAAGTTTTTCGCGATTTTTATTTTCATGCGGACCATTCAAATTGATTTTTTTGGCAACTTTGTCAAGTTTACAATCAGCACAGATCGTATTGATAAAATATAGTAAGTTATCGGTTAATTACGTCCTTTGTATACTAATTGGTGGCGCGTGTTCACAAACCCTTTAGAATATGGGCCAGAAAAAATGTGCTGACGAACGTAATCTACGCATCAAAAACAATGTTCAATAAACTCTTGTTGTAATCGCGCCAATTGTACTTACGCAAAAATAGATCAAAAAATGCGTGTCTCTGGCGCTGAATGGTATATAAAGCCATGCGATCTAGGCAAAATCATCACACAAACTAATCGTCAATCGACACGGTCATTACTTAGTTTGTGAATAAAATTCGAGTTGCCATTCGAGTCAAATTAAAATAATTCAATTTTCAT